TTCTTAGCTTTTCCCACGGAGTAAACAGTCCATAAGTGTTAGCCATTATTATTGTAATTATTGTCATTATTACTCCGTCCTTCACTTTCAGCACTCTCTAGCCTGCTCCCTTCACTCATTAGAGAGGATCAGAATCAGAAAGGCCTCTGCTCTTCCACAAGAAAGACTTCAGTAGAGAACAGACATAAAGGACTGAGAGAGTCTCTTGAAAAAAATTCACACTTTCCTCAAGGAAAACAAATAGGATTGAGTTGACTGAAATTCCATAAATAAGAAAAAGAAATAAACTCAATTACTACCAGTTCAGTTCATAGGATAGAATTATAGACATAAATTCTGGAAATATTAAAGCCGGGACTTGCTAGAAGTTTCAGTGTCTCTGGTTTCCCTCGTAGCTCTGCTTCCAAAATGGGGTTATACAATTACATTCTGTACCAATAATAAAAATGAATCTGCTAAGCCACAAGGCTCCTTCGCTTAGAGCTGGAGTGCTAGCACCAAGATTTGTCACTGTTGAATTTTTATGTCAGCTGCAGGTTAATGTTGGCTCCAGCAGATAGCGTTAGGAGAAGAGTAGATGCAGCAGTTGAGCTTCTTTGAAACAGAAGCTACAGTGTGGATCAGAGGGACAGAGGATCCCCAGAACAGGGTCACTGTCTTCTCACCAGCACACAGAGGGGCTGGAAGCTCCATCCCTTATAGGGGCCGCAGAGAGACTCCTTTTCCTCAGTAAGGGGTTGCTACTGCGGTGGGTACAGTCTTTTCATGTTGCTACTGAAGGTTCAGCTTCCAAGGAGGGAGCAATCAACAGTAAAAACATCTTTTGTGCCCGGTGGTGGTGGCGCACGCCTTTAATCCCAGCACTCGGGAGGCAGAGGCAGGTGGATCTCTGTGAGTTCGAGGCCGGGCTGGACTGACAATCTCCAAAACAATACAGAGAAACCCTGTCTCGTAAAAACCAAAAAAAAAAATCTTTCACATCCCCACTCTACCTGATTGTATCTAATGGGGAGGAAGTAATTCCTCCTTCAGTGATATTTGGAAAGGGACATGCAGGAAGCAGCATCATAGAACACTGCCCTAAAATCCCTTAGGAACATCTCAAGTCTCTTTCCAGTGAAAGATGTTGTCTGCTAAGATGCCAAAAGGTTATCAGGTAGACTCCCCAGTGAACTAAGTGTCTAACATAAGCCACAGGGTGGCTGCTCGACTCAAAAGGAGAAACGCATCCAGTACAGGTACTAGGTGTCATCCCTTACAACATCCAGTACAGGTACTAGGTGTCATCCCTTACAACATCCAGTACAGGTACTAGGTGTCATCCCTTACAACATCCAGTACAGGTACTAGGTGTCATCCCTTACAACATCCAGTACAGGTACTAGGTGTCATCCCTTACAACATCCAGTACAGGTACTAGGTGTCATCCCTTACAACATCCAGTACAGGTACTAGGTGTCATCCCTTACAACATCCAGTACAGGTACTAGGTGTCATCCCTTACAACATCCAGTACAGGTACTAGGTGTCATCCCTTACAACAAAAGAACGACAGTGTGCAAAACCAAAGCAGAGCAAGAGAGTCAAATAGCCAAGGCGGGAGAATGAGATAGATGCATTCCTCTGAACAAGAAAAGAAGCCGTTCATACAAGTCTATCCCTTGTCTGTGGCAACAAATTGGTTCACTTTTAATTGGTTTGGAATCACAGACATTTGATATAATTATACAGATCCACAAGGGCAGAAAACTTCTGAAAAACCAAAACAGAGTATGAATTATTTAAGAGTTCCTAGGAGACCCAAGCTTTTCATACCTTCTTATGATATCAGGTGACACATCAATTACTGATTTGGGGACAATTTTGTTACAGGACCCGAATAATGTAAAACATTTTGTGATATTCTTCTGGAGAGAATGATTGCCAAGGGAAAGCAGTTTATTTGTCTTTTTTAAGGAAAGAAAGTTTGACAATTATTTGAGTAGTAACATCACAGCTTAAGAGAGTGCCCCGAGGAGCGATCGTGACACCATAACACTTAGATGAAAACTGCCACCAAGGAGCAGAGGCAGCTCCCGAAGATTCAGGGCCTCAGCATAAATATTCAACATGCTGTCAGACAGTAAAATCCCTTAGTGGAGACCCCTTGTAAGGAACAGCACCTCTAAACGCGTTTCATGGGGCTTCTTAGGAGGACATTATACTCATGTTTTTTTTTCTCGAGTTCAAGCAGTCCTAAGGAATAAAAGGACCTGGAAACCTAAGACTCCCTTTCTCCACCCTCTTCCTCCTCAACCCTAGCAGAAGTTATAACAAGGAAATGGCATATAATGGAAGTAGGAAGAAAACACCAAAGGTCTCAATATCATCAGGCTCCACAGGCAAGTGGGCCTAGCCCTGAGAGCAACATTTTTCAAAGAAATTGTGTTTTTCTCTCCATAGAAATGGGACTGGAGTGCTGACATCTTCTAAGCAGACAGCCATGAAGTGTCAACCCAGAAAACAGATCTGAATACACCCAGACATCTTCCAACCAGGATCAGACTCCTTGACCCTGTCGGTTGAGGCCACCCACACTGCCATCCATCTCCATTCCCAACTCAAATGCTGGAGATCCGAAGTTCTTCTGTGATACTGCCAGGATAGACTCCTCCACCTTGAACAACGATAGCACCGATCCATCCAAAGCCCTTAGCCTGCCATGTAAGAGCTCTTTGGATGCCGCTCTACTTTCTATCTGGTCTCACGCATTGCCATCTTTCCCCCACCCTCCTACTGCCCCGCCACGTCCAAACCCCTCACAGTGAATGAGGACTACAAGTGCTCCACGACTTCTGGACCCTTGAGACTCTGCACACATCGCTCTCTGCCTGGAGTGTTCTTTCTCCTCCCAGTACTCTCATCATTGACTACTCAGTGTTCCTTCGGTAGTCAACTTTAGTGTATGTCCAAGTTTTGGAAAGCCTGCTTGCTAACTACAAATGCATGCTTCCAGTTTTTCTCAGACTCTGAATTTCTGGTCCAGCTTTGTGATTTTTCTACAACAATAAAGTCTTCGCCTTGATGTCCTATTTCCTCCCTATTCAGTCTGAACTTGCTTGTATTTTCATACTGTAAACATGGAGTTCACACCTGCAATAACAGAGACGGACAGCGGCAGGTTTGGGAAGTGGCTGACACAATCATTACAAGCTGTGTTGGGTGAGAGAGCCCCGTGACCATGAGGTAAACGGAAAGCCATGATTAGGCCCTGAGGTAGGAGAGCATTAAGAAGAGACAGTATGTCATATCAGAGACATGTTGGGTCCTTAAAGTCAGAGGTGGCCTTCCCTTAAAATACTTGGAAAAGAACACTTGGAAGAGTGGGAAAAATAGCTGTCAGCCAGGAGGTGCTGGCTGCCTTTCATCCCAGCATTTGGGAGGCAGAGGCCGGCAGAGCTCTGTGAGCTGGAAGCCAGCCTGGTCTACAGAGTGAGTTCCAAGAAAGCCAAGGCTACACAGAGAAACCCTGTCTCAAAAAAAAAAAAAAGAACAACAAAATAGCTATTGTGTGCAACATGATCAGGGAAGCTAGAAGAAAAAGAGGATGCCTTCAGAGATGTTCCCTGGGCAAAGGAGAGATGGAATTTCCATGTTTCCAGAGGGAGGCAAAAAACTTCACAGCACTTAATTTATGATTTAGTCCATCAAAGCCTATACATCAAGGAGCCCCACACACCAATTTGTGTGTGTTTAACTTTCATGACCAGGGCCTGCTGACCTGATTGCTAAGAGAGGCAGCTAGGAATTCTGTGGTCTGGAGTCATTATTTTTAAAAATTAATGATCCTACACAAATCTTCATTGTGACAAATATTCTGCCGTCACTGCTACTAAACGTATCACACCAGGCTCTATCAGACTGGTATGAAGAAGGAGCTTCTAAAAATCCAATCTCCAACCACGGGAAGAATTTCAGTGTCTGACCAGACCTTTCCCTTGGGCTTAGCTCCTGCCATCATTCATCCCTATTCTCAATTCCTTTCACCTCCCTTCTCACCCAAATATCCCCCTCTCTGCAGCTAGCAGAAGTCCTTGCTTCCTGATTATGAAATTCTTGAGGCAAGACAGCATAAACTTAACCCCTGCCTCTACACCAGCAAGCTCCTTACATCCTACCTACTTCTCCTTCCTTTCTGCACCAAAGGACGAAGTACCTCCTTATAGCCTAAACCTGGTCTGTGCTTCCCTCCCTTCCCCTCATGAATCTTCCTATCATGAATCAGTGAGAAGATAAGGCAATTTCCAGCATGAGACCACATTAAAGATAGCAACAAGATCAGATCTAGGGGTGGCTCAGTGGTAGGATGAGCGCTTAGCATACGTGAGACTTTGCGTCCCATCCCCAACACGACATTTTTTAAAGACATCATCCAGAATGTTCCATGTGTTAGCAGCCCCTCTCTGGATGAAACTATCTCAGCCAGTGGACGTTATGCATTTAATTCTGACACAAAGAATGTACGAGGCTGGCCAGTGGGACTCCAGTTTTAATTTCCCTTATTTTGACTCCTCATTTTATTTAGCTTTCCAAGTCAACTGTCTCTAGAGACAAAAACATTCATTTCAAAACAGTTCAGGACTCTAGGTATAGCTTTAGTCCCCCTGCTCAGGCTATTTTATGTGAGGTGGTCCAGAAAGTTCATAATCAGATGCCAAAGAATAAAACATGTTCATTGTTTGGTTGTTTGATTGGTTGATTGTTGTTTTTTCATTTGTTTGTTTGTTTTTTGAGTCAGGGCTGTCTGTGTAACCCTGGCTGTCCTGGAACTCGCTCTGTAGACCAGGCTGGCCTCAAACTCACAGAGATACACCTGCCTTTGCCTCCTGAGTGCTAGGATCAAAGGTGTGTGCCACCACTGCCCAGCTCAAAATATGTTTTTAAAAGCTAAACAAGTCGCTCATTTTAAACACAAGCTGGATGTCAGGATTAGAAGAAGCAATGGGAAAATGGAATCTTGCCATCAACAAGCTCTGCGACTTTACACAGGCTGCATCTTTCTCGAACAGTAGAAGGGCCTTCTGCATCAGGTAGCTGGCTCTGGACAGCTTGTTCTTCTTTATTTTATTCATTACACTTAACTCTGTCAAGGTAAGCAAATAGTTATTCAAAGGCCACGATGAAAGCCATCATTTAAATTTCTTGAACTACAAGTGATCCAACACAAATCGCCTACCTGTGAAACACTCGGTGCTTCTGGATTCTTTTAATTTTTCCCAACCTTTGGTATTTGTGCTAACAGTTGGAATCTGCAAAGCTGAAAAAGACCACGGATTATAAACCAAGCAGGAAATCTTTTTTCCCATGCTGGGAAACAAACCCATGACCTTAGGCATGCCAGGCACAGGATCTACCATTACACTTATTATTATAAGCCCAAACCTTGGCTTATTTTTGGTTGTAACAGGATCTCCCTATTTGGCTCAGACAGGTCTTGAACTTGGTATGTAACCCAGGAAGGACTCAGACATATAACCCACTTGCTCTAGCTTCCCACATGCTGGAACTATAGGCTTGTACCACCTTTTCAGTGGTATGCTTCAGGACATAGAACTTCCAAATTATAAGAATTTAATTTAATTTAATTTTCTGTTTCATCTTAACTAAAAACACCTTGTGGGTGAACTCTTGTCTACTTTACCTTCTTGCTACATAAAATGGCAAATCCGGATGCCAAACTGTCCCTGGTCTTTTCTAGAAAAACTGTGTCACCACAGTCCTGGAAAATGTGAGTGCCACAGGACAGTGAAAGCCTAACAATTTTTACTTAAAACTGAAAGGATTGCAGGTGAACAGTTTGTGTACAGTTGGGATTGCTGATATGGTGGTCCAATAAAATGGATATGGGACACATGGATGGAGCTGTGCGGCCCAAGGTGATGACTCCTAGGTCTGGTCCACAAGAGACCTGGCACCATTTTGTTTCTGCCCTGCAAGGTATGCAGGGTGTGGCAGTTTGAATGAAAATGCCCCTCATAGACACATAGATTTGAATATTTGGCTCCCAGTTGATGGACCTGTCTTGGGAAGAATTTGTAGGTGTGGCCTTGCAGGAGAAGGTGTGTCACTAGTGGTGGACTTTGAGGTTTCAAAATCCCATGCCAGACCATCTTTCTCTCTTTCTTTGCCTCCAGATGCAGATGTACCCCTTGGCTACTGCTCCTAGGCTAACCCTGCTGTCTGAGACTGTGTTCCCTGCCATGACGGTCATGGCCTCACCCTCTGAAACTGTAAAACAAGCCTCCAGTTAAATCTTTCTTTTATGTTTCCTTGGTCTTGGTGTCTCTTCACAGCTACAGAACAGTGACTAAGCCACAGGGTTTCCTAAGGAAACCTGTCAGCACACCCCTCTGTTGAATCTTATTATTTGTGCTAATGAGTGCCAAGTGATAGTGACTGATGAAAAGATAGAACCAGATACGACTGAAGGATAAGATGTATGAGAAACTCTTAGTGCAGATGTAGATGAGTAACATTTAAAGCTGTGGCGACCAGTGGGCAGCCACTGTGAATTTCTTTAATAAGAAAGGCACAGAGAACACCTCTGGAGCAGGAATTTGGAGGCAACATACTTGAGTGAAGACAGACAGAAGGAATGGACTCATAGCCTGTGCTAGGACAGAAGATCAATAAAGCAACAGCAGAGGGTTCACAGAGACTCAGGGATACGGCGTGGACCCCTAACTAGCTCCACGAAGATGGAGGCCAGGCCTCCATCATTAACTGTGTGTGGTCCCTCACCAAAACTCATTCAGCCTTCAAAGACCTAATGAACAACAGTTAGGGAGTAAACCATTAAATAGTAACCCCGAGAACAAACAAAGCCTTATTCTTCCACGAAGGACGATATGGGAAATAATGAGTATTTTTGAAGGAAACCAGACACAGTCATTCTATTGAGCTTTAAATTGCATTTCTGAACCACATGTTTTCAGCTTCAAATAACGGTTTTGGCTAATTATTCTCAGGAAGCATGTTTATGCTCCAGCTGGTTCTCAGTTTACTTATGATGAAACAGAGATGTTTCCATTATTATCTGCTGCCCTCTGCATCTACAGGATCACATAGGGAACAGCGTTAAAGCCTTATGTTTTAAATAAAATGTAAAAGGAGGAAAACATAAAGAGGTTAAAAACAAAGGATCTTGGAAGGTCTATTAATGCTTGCTCTATTAAATTAACAAAACACTAATATTTTACTGTAAGCAAACAAATACAATCATAACTTTCTTAGAAATCTACTAACGTGCTATGCAAAGTGCAAACTGATAACAAAAGTGTCTGTTAATATTAATCCACGGAGACAAAATAGAATAATAAGACTTATTTGGAAAATGGGCAACAAATACACAACTACGAGATTTAATCAATTCTGCCCTTGAATTACACTTAAAATGTATACTGCATGGTTCCTTCTGGGTGGCCACTACCTTGCAATTGGTCAAGAAGTACAACGGCTATACGGTGCTGAGCATGAATTAATTCAAGATGCAGATCCATCATGAAGCTATTCGCTGCAATCGGCTTGAAAGTAGCCCCATCCATGTCATGAGAGTACTTCAGTCCGGTAGAGTTGAAGAAGAAATTAAAAAGGAAAAAGGTTATCGAAACAGTCTAAAAAATAGCTATGCCTTATTATCTTTCAAGTCCTGTCTTATTCATAGCCATTTAATTTTTCTTATTTCTGGCCCTGAGCAGCTGGGTCACATGATGACACGTGTTCTCTTAGAGTGTCCTTCTCACTGACAAACTCAAAGACACCTGCTTGCCTTGATTTCTTCTGGGAAGAGCTACTTCTGGCCTATGAGAGGAAACCACATGTTACATACCTCCTTGAAAAGCCGGCTCTTCTCCTACCTAAGGGAACCATCGACCTGATGCGAGATTGCCCACTCTTACCTTGACATAGCAATGGTCAATTACAGAGGAGCCATCTGACAAAGTAGTTAGCATGCAATTCCAGTTCATCCCAGCGATTGATTTATCCAGGAGTTCATATGCATAAAACACCTGTTCCACGGGAGCTCGCTAGAGTCATTTTATAAGCAAAAAGGAAAAGCGGAAACTTTTTAATAATTACTCACAACCAAAGAGCAGAAACTTGATCTGTCCAACATCAGCCATGCTCTGTATCTTACTAAATATGTTTAGCTTCAACTAAACTGAGTACTGTCAATGCAGATGAAAATACTATATTTCACCATTTTCCAAAAACAAACTTTCACAAATGAACTTTTCAGTTCTAGCCATTGTCTTTAAAATTCTAGTTGTACCAAACACACAGATAAATGTTAAATATGGAGTTCACATTAGTTTAGCTATTCTTGTTTGTTTGTTTGTTTTGGTTGTTTTTTTTAAGTTTAGCTATTCTTTCATGCACTTAATTTGAAAACTTACTACTCTTGTAAATCTCAGAACCTCAGAGCTGGAAATTTAGACTTTGTGTTCATAGAAAAACAACACGGAATGATTTTCAAAGTCTACACATCTTTGTAGCATCATTATTCTCATGGGGAGACTAGTACAAAACAAAGGACAAGCTGCCATGTCCAAATGCTCCTCTCTGCATCTTTACACATGTGAATAAAACCAAAGCCCCCTGGGTACCATCCACAGAGTCACTCTGCCTCACTGCCCCAACCAGGAGCCACTTTCCCTGAATCTTTCTTTTATCATTCATTTGTGTTACCTGATTTTTTTTTACCACTCTCATCATCCATGTGCCTTGACCAATATATAATATCACCTTTTAATTTTTAAATGCTTTTTCATTTCTCCATCATAAAATCCTTCTGGATACTCTTTTCTCTTGACCACAGCCTCAGACTGGTGTTGGTACCTTAGTGGCTCAGGCAGAGTGTGGCTATGCCACAGGAGCCCTCTAAGTACCCCAATCAGAAAGGAGTTCCTGTGATTCAACTGTTGGTGAGAAGGTAGCTCCCTGCCATTCTCAAGAGCTTCCTGGGAGTCTCTGTGACTCGGGGAACCCAGGAGGTAGCTGACAATAACCTCCAGCATCCACTACAGTGGTCTGGGTGGATCTCAAGATCTTGCTCAATATGGCTGGCAAGTTCCCATCTTCCTTCTGCCTCTCATTACAAAGTCAGTCAAATGCTCCTCATTAGAAGAGTAGCCACCTAGGACCACAGAAGTGACATGCTGCAAACACAGTTCCAGGAGTCCCCTGTCATCCAAGGGTGACTGTCCTACAGACAGGAAATACAAGGATACCCAGCTGACTTGCATCTGTAGAATGACAGGAGCCATTCTGAAGAGCATGTTGCCATTATTCATGAATGTGCTGGTGGACATGTAGACTGCCATAACCAAACGCCCTGCAATGAGTTGAGTCTGTGATTGAAACCAAATTACCACTTCCTGTATGGTCTTTACTGTTTCTTTCTTTTTCCTGGTTCAGTTTTCATCTGCCTAAGAATTCTAAAACATGTTGAATAGAAAAGTGGTGGCTACCCGAATGTAGTTCTATCAGAATAAAGGGACCGTTTTTAATCTAGTACCATAGCTATAACATTAATTGACAGTCTTTGGATAATATGCTTTATTCAGTAAGAGTCCTTCTATTTCCAGCTGTTAAAAGTTATGTTTTGAAAGGTTGGCCATTGGTTTTGTCAAATGCTTCATTTTCATCATTGTAGACTGATATGGCCATATGTTTTTCCTTCTCTTTAATGTGAGAATGCACTACACTGCATTATGGATGCTAATGGTGAATCAGCCTTACTTCCTGGAATATAAACAATTTGATCACATACAGTCATTCAACATACCTCTCTCCACCAAAAGTCACAGGCTCAGGGAGGCTTCCAACCCCTCAAGTTACAGGTTCAAATAACAAATCGGCTTGAGGATACAGCCACAGCTGCAAATCATTGGGGTGAGAGACTTTCTCCAACTCACTCCCTCTCAGGACTGAGCCTGAGATATCTCCCTATAAAACTGGTGTTTTTTTCTAATATACTTTTATATTTTTTCTAAGATACAGTCTTTTGTAAGTTCTAACTTTATGGAGAGGCTGAATGCCAACTCCATCTTTCATGAGCCGAAGTTTTATCTCCTTCCCTTAGATAGCTATTTTTTTAAAAATCTATGCTTGCTTGTAACTATGCCAGCAACCCGCTGCAGCACCCACCTGCAAGCTCGCCATGCTGGTTTCCACTTCCTGTTTCTGTTTTGGCCTCTAGAATTTTCCTTACTTTCTTGTGAATTTTGCAATGTTCTAGAAGATACCTATTCAATTCTGTCCAAAATGTCAATGTATCTTCCAAAAGGGAAATGTTTAAGTCAAATAGGTTGTTGTTTAGCAAGGAACAGAGGTCACTAAGGATGTGTGTGCATGTGTGTGTGTGTGTGTGTGTGTCTGTGTCTATGTCTGTGTCTGTGTGTCTATGTGTATGTATCTGTGTGTGTATATCTGTGTTTGTGTCTGTGTGTGTATGTCTGTTGTCTCTGTGTGTCTATGTCTGTGTGCGTCTATGTCTATGTGTGTCTATGTCTGTATGTGTGTCTATGTCTGTATGTGTGTCTATGTCTGTGTGTGTCTATGTCTGTGTGCGTCTATGTCTGTGTGTGTCTGTGTCTGTGTCTATGTGTGTGTCTGTCTATGTGTCTGCGTGTCTGTGCCTGTGTCTATATGTGTGCCTGTATCTGTGTGTGTGTCTATGTCTGTGTGTGTGTCTATGTCTGTGTGTGTCTGTGTCTGTGTGTGTGTCTATGTCTGTGTGTGTGTCTGTGTGTGTGTCTATGTCTGTGTGTCTATGTGTCTGTGTGCCTGGGTCTATGTGTGTGTGTGTCTGTGTGTGTCTGTGCCTGTGTCTCTGTATGTGCCTCTGTATGTCTCTGTCTGTGTGTGTGTGTCTGTGTGTGTCTGTGTGTCTGTGTGTCTGAGCTACTGACCCAACCCTGGGAATACCTTTATGACACCAAAAATTTTCAAAGACCAAATACACAGTCACATTCTGTTATTATCTTCCCCATCACCATTATGTATATCTTGCCTTCAACACCATAACCAACACTAAATTAAAACTTGCTTGCCATACAGGGATAATTACACTTCATAATATTTTAGCTGCCAGGGCTCTGGAAGGCAGATACTCACTAGCTGCCATTGTTTTATAACCAATCCATTTGTTGAATGGATGCTATATATTCTGCAAAAGTTTGAAATTGTTTTAAATCATGTCATCACAATGGGTACGCCTTATATTTTTCATGCAGCACTTTTTATGTATGCAAGAAAAATAATTTTTCTCACCTAAAAATTGCTAAGTGAAAACATGAATCTCAGACTCTCCTACAGTAATTCCCTTCCATGTGGATGTAAGCTTAGATCAGAACGCCACTGAAACATAAACAACTAACATACACAAGGTATCTTGTTCCAAAGTGTCATCAATATGTCAATTATACAGGGTAACAACCCAGCAGAACAGGCACAATTATAATTTCACAGACAAAGACACTTGAACAGATCACATAATTCATTCAGGTTCATACAGTCAACCTCCTAATGAAGACTCAATGGTAAGTCTGTCTAAAACAAATGCTAGGCTCAGGGACATACCAGTGAATTGCCTGTACTCCAGCCACCAAATATCACTACTGCTGAGCAGGCTGTGAACTACACAGTGTTGACACCTGTCATTCACACCTTCATTATCACAGACAATTCCACAGGACATTGGCAATTTCTCAGGACATTGCAGTAAGCTACTTGGGGCAAGGGACACATTTTTCTGACCCCAATAGCAATAGCAATAGCTCATCGATAGCCTTTGGATTCTTTGTTGTAAGAAATTGACAACTAAGAAACTCATTTTATTTAGTGGCTTTAGTTGGTAGAAAAGTTCAAGGCAAAAAGTCAAGCCCTTTATAATTTCCATCCGGGTTCCTGGGCCTCCCCCCATCACTTCCTGGAGAATGAGAACTAGCCCACTGAACCCGTGATTCTCAAACTCTAGTGTCCTCAAGAACCTACCTGAGTTGAAATTATGATTGATTGTGTCTGGAGTGGAAAACGAGAACAGCATATTGTGTAAGCACTGCAAGGGAGCCCTAGACAAACCACTGTTGGACTATTATGTCTTATCTGCCCCTTGAGCAAACCAGTTTCTGTTCCCAGTGTGAGATTTCTTAAATCTAGCTCTCTCCATAAGATGCAATTAAAGATAAAGAATTCAAATGTGTACCCCTGGACCTTGTAATTAGAAAATGAATGTTCATTTGAGAAGGTAAATTCATAACCACCCCTTTTACAATAGCTGTTTGGTATCAAGGTTCCTAGGATTTACTGATTACACTGAGTGTGGCAGAAAGATGAAATCAAAGTTTTAAATTGAGTACTTGTAGGGCTGGTGAGATGGCTCAGTAATGAACTTGCAGCCAAGCTGACAACCTGAGTGCAATCCCCAGGACCCGCATTGTGGAAGGAGAGAACCAACTCCCACAAGATTTCCCCTGACCTCCACATATGCTCCATGGTGCATGCCTACACACACACACACACACACACACACACACACACACACACACACACACACACACTAAACATTTTTAAGCAGGTTTCACCGATGGAACAACATATAATGTTGATCTCTGGCCTCAGCTAATATGTTTCTGCCAATGTGTCAAGCCAGATCAGGCCAGATTAAAAGCAGATAAATGTAGGTTTATTTGCTGCTGGGTCCATGGGTCCCAAAGAAGGGGGCCAGGGAAACTGAATGCCCAGGCTAAGATAGGGAGGTTTTATAAACTTTATGGAGGGGTGATGATGTGTCAGCCAGGAGTTGGGACTATGCCCAAGTACAGTCAAAAGCTAAGTCCCTGCATAGGTACTTGAGTGGTCTGGCCATGTCAGAACAGCAGGTTACATTGGCTGCCAGAAATGCAGAACTAGGATACTGGCACAATTCCTTTGTTCAGAGTTTTCTGAGTGTGGGCAGGGTTGGCAGAAGAGGGTGGCTGGGGTTTCTCATCTTGTGTAGCATCGAACAGGGGTTCCAACCAAACATTCCTACCTCTTTGGGTTTATGGGCGCTGGTTCAGTGAGGAGGACTAATAGCAGAAAACAGGGCAGGTGCTGCCAAAATAGTATCACAAAAAGCAACAGAATGCTACATGTTAAAAAATATGAACTGGGCAGTGGTGGTGCATGCCTTTAATCTCAGCACTCAAGAGACAGAGGCAGGCAGATCCCTGTAAGTTGAGGTCAGCCTGGTTTATAGAATGAGTTCCAAGACAGCTAGAGCTGTTATGCAGAGAAAACCTGTCTCAAAATATGTATGATAAACTGAAAGAGGGCATGAGGGCATAGGAAAATAACACAGGATGTCAAGACAGCAAAGGTGTATCCTTTCGTTTTGTGTATTATTAAACACCCCCAATGTCAATAAAATTTTCATAACTTAGTCTACAGTTTATCAGACAAATCAAAATATTCACTGACTTCCTCTCTAGGGAAACATTTTTAAAGTCTTCCATAAAATACAGGGAGCCTGAGTAAATGCTCCACAATGAGTAAAAAGTGGTTTATTCTCAAATGATGAAACATGGTATCCTACATCTCCTTAGAAAATTACACAGCTTATAGGCAAAGAGGCTCTGGGGAATCCCACAGCAAAGGAAGCTGTGGTGTTTAACTAAGATCACCCAAGGATGTTTGCCATGACTTCTGTTGGTGAAGCACGGGACCAGAATCACAGAGGACAGCCTACACACATTGCTCTGGAAGCTGCCTCCAAACAAATGGATACTGGCTGTTACGTGGGGTGGCTCCATTCAGATCTAGACAGTAATTCCTTGTATAGAAGTAACCCAAACATTGTAAGAAAAGCAAACAGTGAGAAACAGCCGGGTAGCTTCCTACCCTTCTCCTTCAAGACGAAGCCGACTCAGCACTCCTGAGTGCCATCAGCTTCCTTGGTGCATTTCAATTCTCATTCAGCCTGAGCTAGCACCCCCATACTTTAAATCCCTGACTCAGGACACAGTCAAACAAATGTGGTAGTATAACAGAAAGACTCCCAGTGGCTAAGGGCACACACTGCTCTCAAAGGACCTGAGTTTAATTCCAACACCTCCCTTCTCCAGTGACTCACAACTGTGTAACTCTAGCTCCGGAGATTTAACATCCACCGGAATGTTAAATTCTGCGGAAATTGTATTCATGTGTACAAACCCACACACAGGCGCACACATAAAGACTGCTAGGTTTCTGTGTTCAACTTTCATTTAGAACTGGTAGTACCTGTTCCAAAGGAAAGACCAAATGGGAGGACATCTCCATAGTGACCAAATGGGAGGACATCTCTATAGTGACCAAATAGGAGGACATCTCTGTAGTGACCAAATAGGAGGACATCTCTATAGTGACCAAATGGGAGGACATCTCCATAGTGACCAAATGGGAGGACATCTCTGTAGTGACCAAATGGGAGGACATCTCTGTAGTGACCAAATGGGAGGACATCTCTATAGTGACCAAATGGGAGGACATCTCTGTAGTGACCAAATAGGAGGACATCTCCGTAGTGACCAAATAGGAGGACATCTCTGTAGTGACCAAATGGGAGGACATCTCTGTAGTGACCAAATGGGAGGACATCTCTATAGTGACCAAATGGGAGGACATCTCTGTAGTGACCAAATGGGAGGACATCTCTATAGTGACCAGTACACACAGCAACAGAAATTCTTAAAGCTTCAACCCTTGGAGATACTTCTACAATGAACCACTCTACATTTATAAGTTTGATATTGAAAATAAAAATTCACATTTTAACCATGTTTTCCATAATATATTGCAGTACCTTTAATATTGGAAGGACTTCGGGAATCCCTTTTGGAGTCCCAGGGAACTCCTCGGTCCCTTTTCTTGAAGACGAATCTGAAAAGGCAAGGAAGTGAGGGAAAAGAGAAAGATGAGGAAGAAGAGAGAGCAAAACCGAAGAAAAGAGCAAAGGGAAATACAGAAGGACGAGAGGGAAGACAAAATGGAAATACCAGAGTGAATCCTGACCATTAAACTACCTACCAAATCAGTATCTTTTTTTAGTGATCTTAGAAATGACTCGTCATCAGAATTTGACAAGATATCAAAATGTTTCTTTTGCATACTTACATAAGCTTTACTTATATAACATAATCTTTTTTTGCAGCCCACAGAATATTTTTATTATCATTTTTCATTCAGTTTTAATAACAACATTTCTCCTTCCTTTTCCTCCCTCCAACTCTTCCATGTGCCCATCTGTGATCTCCTTCAAACTAATGGCCTCTTTTTTCATCAATTATATAGAATGCATATATGCATTCATATATACATATATATTCCCAAATATACCATGCTGAGTCCATATGTTACCTATATGTATATTTTCAGGGATAATTGTTTGCCATCAGACAACCAATTTGTGTGCTCTTCCCTGGGGAGAGCCATCTCTCCTGCTCCCATCTTTCCTCAGTTGCCTGTTATTCTTGTGTATAGCTAATGACACATGGGCTTTCTCTCATGCAGCTTGGTATGTCATTGGTGTTGTTGTCCAGCTCCTATGTGCACAGCAGCTTCTGATGTTAATAGGGGACACAATCTCACAGCAAAGTCTCTGACCCTCTTTCTTCCCACCTCATCTTTGCAATGTTCCTTGAGTCTTAGGCACTGGAGTGTTTTATAGAGGTATCCACTGGGATTGGGTCTACAACTCTGCATATTGATTGGTTGTGGCTCTCTGTAGTTGTCTCTATCTGTTGCAAAGATAAGTGTCCCCTCATTTCTAATCTGAGCTTGATATAACATAATCTTTAAAAAGAACTCAAGAATTTTGTTTCTCAACAAGGTGTTGGCCGGACGGTAGTCATGGCTCATCACCCTGTGTTCTACTCAGTCCCTTTAAAAGGGCAGCAGAGCCGGGCGGTGGTGGCACATGCCTTTAATCCCAGCACTCGGGAGGGAGAGGCAGGCGGATCTCTGTGAGTTCGAGGCTAGGCTGGACCGACAGCCTCCAAAACAATACAGAGAAACCCTGTCTCATAAAAACCAAAAAAAAAAGAAAAAAAGAAAAAAGAAAGGGCAGCAGAACCTTATGGACTTAGACAAATACCAGAGAAATCAGTCCAAACTGTTTTCAAATTATAAATATTTGAAGGCAACACTACATTTCCTATTTTAAAAATATATTTAATAATTCCAACTAACCAACATATTAATTCACAAGTAGGCAATATTCCAATATTGATGGCAACATCTTAACAAAGAATAAACATCTTGGGTTGTATTTAGCCTGATTATGTGCAAACAGCATAAAACAATTATCTTCCAAATTAACTTGTGCATGAAACAATAAAAGTGAATAAGAAACAGACTTTTAAAGATGGGATCATTTTGACTTTCCACTTCCAGTAACAGATAATCTAGAAAATATCTCTTGGCTGTAGAAAAGACAGAAAATATTTTTTAGAATCATAAGCTAAGGAAATAATAAAATAGCAAATATAAAACAAAGAGCTTAGAAAAGGAAACCACGGAGTGTGGAGAGGTGGGAAAGTGATCCAGGAATGGTGACACAGGTTTGCAACCCCAACACTGGGGGCAAAAGGATCAGTAGTTCAAGTTGACCGCTGCACAGCCAGTTCAAGGCCAGCCCAGGCTAACTGAGACCTCATCTCACTGAAAACAAAAACAAAGGCTACTTATCCTACTGGATACTATGAAAATTCTGAAGAGGGAATTCGGGCTCCATTTTCCAGCCCTGAGGAGCAGCAGTGACAGCAAATTAGGAATGAGATGATAACGATGGGACACCATCGCTTCTCCCATGAGCACTTATTGGAGAGTATTTCTTTGTGTCAGGCAGTGTGGTGAGGGCCCAGAAGGCAGCAGCACACAGACGTGTTTTCTTCATTCATGAAGCGTTTGCTGAGAAACGAATGAGGAAAATCATGAAAGCGGAGTGAGAAAGGAAGGAAGAGAAATGGGAATTGCAAAAGAGGAATGGAGTGGGGTGTGCAGATGAGGGAAAGGCCCTGTTCACCATGAAACCAAAGCGCATCTAACCTTGCCTTCTGTGGGCCTGGATAAACCTGCACTATCATCTCTCTCACAACAAATCATCAACGAAGCCCAATAACGGCACGCCTACCTCCTGCTAATGGCAGCTGTCCTGTATTCTAATTTATGCTCACATCGCCAATTTGTCTATGCACACACTTACAATCCCATCATGCATTTCATCTAACATTTACCTGCAGATTTTCTGAATTTTCTTTTCGGGTTTCCCAAAGACTCTAATATTTCACTTAATCGTAATGTGACCTCTGCCACCATCACAATGTCCAAATCTTCCAATTGATAGCAGTGAATCACTTCACTTATCTGCCACAGGAGATAAACCCACTACAAAAAGAAAATGTCAATTAAAATAAATTAAAAGTATATTGTATACCTTTGATCCTCTCCTTACTACAACCAAGTGTTACATAGGCTTCCTTATTAATTTCTTCATTCATGTTTAATTACAAACAACATAAAGTGGCTTTAATGAAATATTTAACAATAAATGTGTTTGCAAAAATCTGTAAATGCACCTGCTTAAAATGTGCTTGCCCGTAGCTGCCACGGAAACTTTATGATGTTATTTTTCTGTATCGTCAATAGTCACTGTACTGTCAAAGTACAAAGTCAGTCAAGTGGGCAGGTGTTTCTGGCCCCACCCTAGGTGCTCAGAAATTGACTCTCTTGACTGTATCCCAAAAGCATAGCATACGAACCAGCCAGCATTCTCTGAGCCCTATGATGAAACAGTATTTAGCTACTACCCACATCATTACTTAATAGGGAACATGACCAAAATGTTAGATCAGTACAATTAATTGTAGGAAGCTCAGGCACACTAAAAATAAAACATTTATCACTAAATATTTCATCTAAGTTCCCAGTTTTATAATGCTCAAATCCTCCACTTTCTCCTTCCAATGGGAGGGGACAGCTCTGTTAAGTAATACATATTATTGAGGAGCACTCTAATGTATATTATCGAAGAAAGAAAAGCACCCTGGTCCTCCTGACTTATTGGTACTCTATTCTTACTCTTCTTGATGAACGTTATCCAAGCTCATATGGAGTAGATATATTGCATTTGTTCCTTCCTTTAGAAAGAAAACAGTTTTCCACTCTTTGAAACCAAACTGGGTCAGGGCACAGCAGCAGACATTCCTAGAAAGGCTCAGTAAGCACTACAAAGACCGGCTTCCTACCGCACACATCTCCAAAGGATGGGAGTTACAGGTAGACCATAGGAAGGACCCAGAGGGGAAATGTGCACTCGACTTGAATTTAAAAAAACAAACTTAAAAACTCATGTGAAAGGAAAGCAAAGGGCGTACGTACTTTGTTAGTGCTGATCTTGTGAGAATATTTTGCAAAGTCGTTTCTGGACATGCTCATCCTTTGAATTCCTAGCTTGCATTTCTGCCATAAGAATGTTATTATGTCCACAACGATATCCTTGTCAGGCTGAACACCCTGAAAACAAACGTGATGAGTGCGTGAGAGGATGAGATGTTCATCCACAGCATTCAGCGTGTCAGGTGACACTCCTGCAAGGGATTCACAGGACCCAAATTGTCACCCCTTGCCAAATCAGTGCACTAAGGTAAGTGCCTTCACTGTCATGGCCATAACAGACACAGAGAACCCTTGTGCCCCCCCCCCCAGCCTCTGCAGACAAATGACCAGGAAGTCACAGAAGGATTCACACCTAAGCATCAGACTCCCTGAGTCTCACTCTGTGAACCAGTTAGGTTCACCGAAAAAAAAATCTGAAACATTTTCATCCAAGCCTGTAAACCAAAAGATCCTCTCTAACATGACAAAGTTTTCTTTTCTCTTTCTAACTTCTTGTATTAAAATAACACAGACTGGAGAAGTGAAGGGTAAAGTAGCAACAGGAGCAGGAAAAGCCTGCTGACAAGCCAAGAAAGAATGCAGGGGAGGGTGGAGAGGGAGTAGAGAGAAAATGCAGGGGAGGGTGGAGAGAGAGAAGGAGTGGGGAAAGAATACAGAGGAGGGTGGAGGGGTGAGTGGTGAGAGGATGCAGGGGAAGTGAAGAGAGACAGGGAGTGGGGAGGGAATGCAGGGGAGGGGGGGAGGAGGGAGAGAATGCAGGGGAGGGTGGGGAGAGGGTGGGGAGAGAATGCAGGGGAGGGTGGGGACAGGGAGTAGGGAAGAGGTAATAGCCAGGATGGGGAAAGGGAGTTGGGGAGCAGGCAACCATGCAGAGGAAGATGGGGAGCAGAACGGTGAAAGAATGCAGAGGAGGGTGGGGAGAGGGTGGGGAGAGAATGCAGGGGAGGGTGGGGAAACAGCACAGGGACAGCATGCAGAGGATGGAGAGAAGCTAAGCTGAAGTGAGCAGACCCCCATGTGGGCATCAGCACATGACCCAGAACGGGCATGCCTCCTTTCTAATTAGCTGGCTCTTCTCAGAAGAAAGGGGGACGCCTTCTTTCTGAGCTGGGAGGTGAAGGAAGTTGATGACAAACTAAGCAAATGTGGGGCTCTCTGAAGCTCTGAGACTTACCTTGGTGTGTGTGTGTGTCACAGCTCGCCGCAGCACTTGGGAACAGTACAGACACCAACACTGGTAAATGTGTTTGGACTTGAGCCTAAGCTGAGCTGAACTAAGATATGCCATGTTTTCTTTTTAAATGCACAAGCAAAAGGGTTTTGCCCTTTTGAGCCTTGGTTTTTCTTTTTCTTTCTTTCTCTTTCTTTTTTCTTTTCTTTCTTTCTTCTGTCGAGCTCGCCCATTATAATAATTATGTTTTCTGCCTGTCTTTCAAAATTAAATACCTGGCTGGGTCTAGGACCTCAGCTCCAAGGCCAGCCTGAGCAACTTAATGACAGTCTGTCTCAGAATCGAAAGTCAAAAGTAGCCTGGGAGGCAGCTCTGGGATAGAGTACTCCCCTTGTTACAAGCAGTCCTATGTCCTATCATGGGCACTGAGAGAGAGAAAAAAAATCTACCTGAGATACTCTGTTTCAAAAGGAATAGAAATACTGTAAGAACAGGGCATGTTTTAATGGCCTATTGCGTTTCATCTTCCTAGGAAAACAGTAATGCAAAACTTTATAATTACAGTTTCTGCTCATAATCATACACCCACATTTTAAATGGAATGTCATGAGAATTCCAATATTATATGCAAAAGGAATGAAAACAGATAAGGGTGCCACTGTTCAAAACTGGGCACCCTGGGATTTAAATTTTTTTTTTAAAAAGTGCTTGAAGACCAGGGATGCTGCAGCTTGGTGGTGGAGCACTTGTCAAGTCAGACCTTGCGGCCAATCCCTCCGTGCCCCGGGGTGGGAGAGGGAAGAAGAATGAAAGGGAGAGGAGAGAGAGAGAGAGAGAGAGAGAGAGAGAGAGAGAGAGAGAGAGAGAGAGAGAGAGAGAGAGAGGAGGGAGAGAGAGAGAGGGAGGGAGGGAGGGAGGGAGGGAGGGAGGGAGGGAGGGAGAGAGAGAGAGAGAGAGCATTGCTACATCATGTCTCACTCCTGGAATGTTAGCACCTGGAAGAATGGAGCATCAAGATCACAGATTCTCAGGAGCCTGAGGTACGCAGTGAGTCCCTCTTTCTAAATCCAAAAACCGGGAGCTGGGGGTCAGCCTAAGACACTGGTTTTACCCAAGCACCTGCACATGGGCCTTTTCTAAATTCTGTCCACTATGTGAAAAGTGACAGCAAGCAGGCATTGTCACCATGGACTGAAAAGTACCATGGCCATACTGCACTAAACATATTCACTCTTCCTCAGAACCACTTCCTGGTTTCCTCGTCATCGGATGAAATACAGCTAGCCTAGGACTTTTCCCTAAAGGAGTAGATTAACACCCAAAATGATGACAATAAAAAGAAACTGATAGTTCCAGGTCAGCAGCCAACTCAATGATGTATTCTTTTTTTTAATTTTTTTTTTTTTTGGTTTTACGAGACAGGGTTTCTCTGTTTTGGAGGCTGTCGGTCCAGCCTGGCCTCGAACTCCCAGAGATCCGCCTGCCTCTGCCTCCCGAGTGCTGGGATTAAAGGCGTGCGCCACCAACGCCCAGCTCCAATGATGTATTCTTAATGAGCAAATAATTAATAACTTTAGGAACAGATCCTGACATGCTTTAAACCCAGCCTTATGCTAGGCCAGACTATTAAAAAGCATTTCCTTCCATACCGTTACGACTTATTTACAAGAGTTACCTCACCTTGTTAGGGATGCAAACACAGAAATGAAGTATCGCTGCCAAATGAAAGATATCTTCTGAGTAACCGCAACTCCTCACACAGGACTCTGCAGGCAAAGGCAGAGGACAATGAGAGGAGGCCAATGACTAAGCATCAAATACGAAACACAGTCTACAGACATGGAGTAGAAACACAGTCTACAGACATGGAGTAGAAACACAGTCTACAGACATGGAGTAGAAACACAGTCTACACACATGGAGTAAGTGGTATCTGAACCGTTTATCATGCCAGTAAGCTACCTAAAGTGTCTTTGTGTCACAATTAACCTCAGTAGCTGCGATTCAATTAAAATAGACTCATGTTTTCATTATGAATCCACAATATGTATGTCAACTATGTCCAAAGAGAAACTGAAGGGTCTTACAGTAGTACAATAATCTACAATGTGGTGGTTTGGGAAATGTACAAAGGTATTCAGTCAGGTGCTGATAGAAGAAGAGAGTCTATCACTACAGGCACAAATGATTTACTGCAAGTGAGTGGCTATGTGACACCCCTAAGGACACGGAAAACATGGAAACAAGGGATAAAATAATTGTCTCTGATCTAAAAGCAGACTAGATGTTAAGTTATGCATACAATGATGCTTAATTGAAGTCCAAGAATGGAAAATAAAGCATGCTGGAGAGAAGGGATACAACCGAACTTTCTCTTCACTTAGCCCTTCCCATCCCCTTTGCCCAGCAGCCCTGCTCACCTCCCACTCTCTGTAACACCTCCATAGCTCTTCCTTCTTGAGTCAAAAGCCGTGGAGAATCACAGGCATGAACTCAGAAGATCCAGGAACCCTGACACCCAGCTATTTCTGCCCTCCCACCCTCCCAGACTCTGCAGTTCCCAGCCACAGTCACCGCTGGCAGACCCTCAATCGCAGGGCACAACCTTAAGCCTTGAGCATGTTTTGACTCACCTCACCCAAAAAAGACCATATTTTCTCACATAAAGCATTTTTCTTCAAAAATGCCGATAAAGACTCACCATGACAGGCAATATGTTTTAGATAAACTTGAGCGGACTGCCCCTCCTTATCGCTATCCAGAGGGAAAATCAAGCCTTTGCTTTTCTTTATGTTGATCAATGGTTCCACTGCAAGCAGAAGAATCAGATCCTTCTCTGCTCTCTGTAATTCGGGACTATCTTGCTTCTGAAAACGGATGCCCCACAAGGTCATTAGCAAGTTAACACCAACTTAACAGAACAAAAAAACCAATGAAGAGCACTGCATGTGTTACCTGGAGAAACTGAATGAGCTGTCCAGCCAGCGATACAAACAATCCCCATTCTTCATAAGTAAAAGCCAATTTTGTGAATCTCACAGCAGCACGCACAGAAATGATATTTTTCCTTTCTATCATAAGCTCCAGGAGAAGCGTTTTTGGGAAATCAAATTTTCCATTTGTACCAGCATTTGAAACTAGAAGAGGAGAGAGGAATGTATGGATGTCATTCATGCAAAGCGACAGGGATTAGTCATCAGACACTATCGGGCTCTAGGAAACAATGATTTAAAACAGGCACAGTCCCCAGCCCCACGGATTCTGAGCTTGCAGGGTACTGGGCCAAATAAGAAACCTAAGTGGGAAAATGCACAGTGCTGTGGAGACAAACATAGGGCATCCGAGGTAGGTCCGAGGGGAGACATTTCCTAAAGACGCTCAGGAGGAGGGACATGGCACCCTGGAGAGACAGCCAGGGGTTAAGAGCACTTGTTGTTCTCACAGAGGACCCAGGTTGGTTGCCAGCACCCATGTTGCAGCTCTCAATTGTCTGTAATTCAAGTACCAGGGAACCCAATGACTTCATCTGGCTTCTGTAAACATTAGGACTCAGGGCACCAGGTACATACATGGTGCACATACTACATTCAGGCAAAACACTCATACGCGTAAAACAAAAATAAATGAATATTTTTTAAGATGGGGGAGGCGGAGTGTAGACTATAAAGAATTTGCAACAGTGAATTAGCCTGGTAGGCAGCTTGACATTAGGAACAAGACCTAAAGAAGGGGGCGTGGCTCTTAGGGTCAGTAACAGCTACATTCACAGCAGTTGGCAGGAACAGCTATGATTATGCTAAGAAACGTCATCAAATAAGGCAGGGCAGAGAGAGAAAAGACTGCCAAGGAGAGTGTCCAGTGACAAAAAGACAGTCAACAGGGGTGAGCCTTCACTGAGGAAAAGGAGACCAACTATGAGCTTTTCAGGAACATGGCAGGGAGAGAGGCCGCCTGGTGTATAAGCAGAAGGAAAGAACATAGGCAATCCTCTTGGCATATATGACGGTCTCACAGACACCCAGGGAAGAAGATGAAAGGGGACCCAGGATAAAGGGACTGCGCGGAAGAATTCGACTTCATGAAGACCTGAAGAAGTGGAAACATGTCCCTTCTGTCTCACCGAAAGCTGTGTTCAGAGCATGTGCAGACAAGGTGAGTTTTAGAATTGAGTGAATGAGATCAAAGAAATTCTCACTTGTGATCATTTGAATAGGAATGGCCTCTATAGACTCATGTGTTTGAATGCTTGGCGCATAGAGTGGCACTTTGAGGAGGTGCGATGGCCTTGTTGGAATAGATGTGGCTTTGTTGAGGAACTATGTCACTGTGGTGTGGACTTTGAGGTCTCATACGCTCAGGCTACACCCAGTGTGGTACGCAGTTTCCTTCTGTTGCCTGCAGATCAAGAAGAAGAACTCTCACCTACTTCTCCTGCACCATGTCTGCCTGCGGGCTGCAATGATTTCCCTCTATGACAATAAAGAACTAAACCTCTGAAACTATAAGCCAGCCTCAATTAAATATTTTCCTTTATAAGAGTTGCTATGGTCATAGTGTCTCTTCACAGCAATAGAAACCCTAACTAAGATATCACTTGAGAACTTTTTCAAACTGAAAATAGATTTTTTTTCATAGAAAATATTCTGATCGTGGTCTGCCCCACCCCTCCCAATTTCTCTGAGAACTTTTTAAATGAAGACATGAGACCTTGTTTTCATTAAAGCGTAGGATCAGAGGCTCACTGCTTTCAGGTGGATACACAATCTGAAGTTACACAAGCTAACATCTGGCTTCTCACATCTCCTCCTAGGTACACATTAAAGCCAAATCAGTTGGCTACTGCTAGGTGGTGGTGGCTCATGCCTTTAATCCCAGCACTCAGGAGGCAGAGGCGGATGATCTTCTATGAGTCTGAGGCCAGCCTGGTTATCAGAGTGAGTTCCAGGACACTCACAGCAACACAGAGAACCCCTTCTTGAAAAAAGAATCAGCTGACTGCTGCAAGCCCACAGAAGGTCTGTTCATGGGGAAAGAAAATTAAACATGCAAGTGTTTTCAAAGAAAACCCACAACCCAAGCATCCTTGGCCACAGGAAGCAGAGATATAGAACAGAGAGAATGAGAACTTAAGCACAAGTGTTCTCTCAGAAGAGGGGGCCCTCGGGAGCACGAGGGTGAGAACTGGGCCCCTAGAGAGAGGATCACTTGAAGATTGCATCTGAAGTCTACCAGTGCTGAAACGAGAACTGTTGGTGGACAAAATGCCATAACAGAAAAAATAAAGCACAATGAGTGACCTGGAAATTCACATTGAGGAAACCTCTCAGAAGTAATAAAAAGGAACAGAAAGAGTGAGGGGAATAAAAGGGAAGGTTGGTGATGAATATAAAAATGTTGACATTTGTTTTGAAGAAAGAAAGATACAGAGAAGAAATGAAAAGTAATGTGATAGTTTAAAAAAAAAACATGCGCTCAAAATGTCTCCTGCATCACTGGACTCGGTGTGATGAAACATAACAATAACATAAGAAAAATAAAAATATAAAATCTCCAAAATGATGAGGCTTAACTAATATTAAACTCCCCCATAGAAACCGTGTCCAAGACATGGAGATAAATGGCATAGTAAATCTGGAGAGAGTGACAGCAATCTCTTCCAAAACCAATTACACTTATCATAGCAATGAGCAATTAGACCATAGAAGTGGTACATAATTTTCAAATGAAAGTTCAAAAATTCATAGCAGTTTTATTCCTAATAGCCCCAAACTGGAGACAACCCAAATGTCTCTCCACAAGTAAACAGTTAAACAAACTGTGATACAAACGGCGTCCAGCAATAAGAAAGCATGGACATTTGCTGCGCAACAACTGGACGCCTCATAGCAGGATGCTGCTGAGTGAGGAAACAGGATGCACGTACACTAAGAGTTTATGATGAGGATATCTCAGTCCATGGGAAAGGAGGCTGTCTTCAAAAACGGTGCTGTGTCAACTAGACTGCCCCATGAATAAACAAATGGTGATGTGCACTCCATAGCAACAGAAAAAGTGTGAATGTGGACCTTAATCAAGAAATGAAACAGCAGAGCCTGTGGAAGAAAACATGGCAGCATATGTAGAGCAAGGAGAAGGCAGGGATTTCTTAAACATGACACAAAAGGATTCACATAAATGACGCATTGGCAGAGATTTCTTAAACATGACACAAAAGGATTCACATAAATGATGCATTGGCAAACTGGACTTCATTAAATTGAAGACTCTCTGGGGTCTGGAGAGACGGCTCAGAAGTTAGCAGTACAGGCTGCTCTTCTGGAGGAATCAGGCTTGACTCCCAGTCCCCATACAATGGGTTACAGCCATCAGGGATTCTAGTTCCAGGGGGACGGACACCGTCTTCTGGCCTCCACCAGCACCAAGCATACAAGTGGTGCACAGACATAAATGCAGGCAAAAGACTCAGAACATAAAGTAAAAATAAATTAACAATTTCTGTCACAATAGATACATGAAGAGAGAGGAAAGAGGGGCCGGAAAGACGGCTGAGTCAGCAGAGTCCTTGCCATGCGCACATGAGAACGACTTTAGTTTACCAGGATAAAATGCCAGGCACGGCGACATGCTGTAATCCAGGCTAAGGAAGCAGAGACAGGAGGATCCCTGGGGCCTGCTGGCCAGTCAGGCTAACAAAATCAGTGACACTGACTCAAAAAGAAAAAAAAAAGAGTTATTGATGGAGAGACCTGTAGGGTAAAAAAAAAGCCTAGATAAAGCATTATAAGACACACACACTCACACTATGAATGGGTATGAACAATCCCCATGAATGGAAAAAAATAGAAATAAAGAAACTTACTTCACCTGAATAACAATATAAAAAACCCAAAAACAAAACCCCCACATCTATAAAGCCCTTTAGTAAATGTCTGAACTAACGGTAAAATGCTGACAGTTTCCCATCTATGGTCAAATTGTGACAACTCAGACATCAGCATGTGATTCTGGTGTTTCCAGTCAGTGTAATAAATCAGGAAATGAAGGGGGCATTAAGAAATTAAAGCCTAAAGAGAAAGAAATGTAATTGTCATTACTCAAACATGATTATATATGTTAGAAAATAAAAAAAAAGCTACAAATGAATTCTTTATAGCATGGTCACTGGATTCGAGATCAATGTGTAAATTTGATACTAATTTTTCATGTATGGGCCATCATGCTAAAGGTATTTGTTATCAGTGTCTGCTATAAAACATTAACACTTTATTTACTTATCAAAAGTTCTTTTCCGGCCATAAACAGTTCTGAGACTACATCACGAAGCTCCACTTCATCAGTAGCCAGAGGTCCAGTTTGCAGGATTCGCCTGCTTGAGTCAGAAAGAGCTTCCAAGACAGCCAAGAACCGGGACGAGGTGCTATCAAATAGCTCATCCAGCAGCCGCTCTGTGACCGTCCGTGGCCACACCATCTAGACATGAAAGAAAACCAAAGCTGCTACCTGCTTCACTACAGACTCTGTTTAAATAAGTCGCGACACCAACGATTCTGCTGTTTCTTATGTGCCGGTGTTTCCAAGGCAGTATAGAAAAACTATTTGCTGTGGTCATTTTTCAAGGTAGCATTGTCTCCACATGCTTGGTAGCAACTTGCTGACAGCCACAGGGAGCTGAAACTTGAACTTTGTTGGCCTGACAATCACTTGGGGATGCCAAATGTCCAGAAAATCTGTGGGCTTAGGTCAGAGAGGGTTGATAAACGCTGCAGGAAATTCTCACTGCAGAATGTCCTAAACTCAAGTCTGAAACACTGTTGGTGTCAATAACTAGGGGTATAATGGTTAATGCTATGGACTGCTTGATTGGCTAGATACCAAGAGCAAAGTGACTGTATAAGTCTCGAGACTCCCGGCCACCCTCCTTCGCACAGGTTGCCAATAAGGCATTTCCAGAACTGATGTCTGGCTGGAAAATGCCAGCCACATTCCACGATCCCCTTGCTTAATTCTAATTCTTCTTGTTGTAGGGGCAAAGTTAGAAAGAAAGAAAGAGAGAAAGAAAGAAAGAAAGAAAGAAAGAAAGAAAGAAAGAAAGACAGACAGACAGACAGACAGACAGACAGAAATGGGATAAAGCTGCCTCAAGTCATGTTTTCCCGGTACTAGCTTCCCTACCCATAGCTTTTATGTCTTTGATTCCGCAGACCCACCATACCTTAAAACCCTCAAAAAAAGTTGAAGTCCATGCCTTGCCCTCTCTCCACCAACAGAGGTGAGGGCTTCTCCAAAGATTTGTGCTAGAGGTTAAAACAGTGCTTTAAAAATATATTTAAAAATAAACAAATAAATAAAATATATATAAATACTATAATAAGTGTTTTCAATAATTAGAAGTATCATAAATGAGATGATGTCTTCCTCTAATTGGTGAAAAGAATAGTCAGCCTGGGCTATACAGTGAATTCTAGACAACCCTAGGCTATAAAGTAAGACCCTGTCTTTAAAAAAAAGAAAAAAAAAGATTTTCTTAAAAAGTAGCCCCAAAGGGGCTAAGACTGGGCTGGTTTAACCCCCAGAAACAGCTGACCTGACAAGGGTTAGTTCTTGAATCGCAGACTGATGCCTGGGAATCCAGCATGGGACTGATCAAGACCCCCTGAATGTGGGTGTCAGTGAGGAGGCCTAGACAATCTATTGAGCCTTGGGCAGTAGATCAGTATTTATCCCAAGTATACAAATGGACTTTGGGCACCCATCCAACAATGAGAGATGCACTCTCACCCTGAACTCCTGGGGAAGGGTCTAGGCCCTGCCCTGGATGAAATGACAGACTATGGACACCCCCATGAAGGGCGTCACCCTCCCTGGGGAAATGAGGGTATATTGGGGGGTTTGGTGGGAGGGCATGGGAGGAGGGGAGGGAAATGGAAAGGTACCTGGAACTGACTTGTGAAGCAACCTTGTTTCTAATTTAAATTTAAATTTAAAAATAAAAAAATATATTTAAAAAGTAGCCCCAAATAACTGAGTTTTAATATGATCTTATCTGGAAATATAAACATTTTCTGAAGATATATTTAATTTTGCTAAAAGAATGTCTATACTTTCTGACTGGGTGCTCAGTATGGCAGCCCTACAGATTCAGATATCTAAATGTGGTTTCCACAAGGGACAAGAAAAGGTTTATAAAAAAAGGAAAATCAATGATCCCCACTGTTGGTCCTCCGAGAGCTCAATGGGAAACTGCCTGCAGTGTGGCAAGCTAGCAGCCTCAGCAGCTGGAGAGCGCTGAGCAGTGTGGGACATGATTCTAAAGCTGGGTAGATACGCTTCCGGGACCAATAGTCAAAATAGTCATGCCCAGTAACAGTGGACTGGCCCTGTGCCTAAGATAATAGTTGTAAATATTATTAATTTAAAAGGGCAAAGGGGCCGTCCCTCAATAGCGTAAGCGCTAAGGGGAGAGCAGTTGGCCTTGGCACTGTGAGACAGCACTGGAAGGTAAACCCAAGTCCAGTGCCGTGAGACGTGTGACCCTGAGCTGCTGACAGCTTCAGGTATAGGTGAGAACGCACCTCAGCAGGCGTTTCCAAGCTCTCCCTTCCAGGTTCAGAGATTCTGTGGCTCTTCCGTCAGAACTGCTCATCCTCTTCCCCCACTTGCCTTCATTTCCGGTCCCTGCATAGCCCCTCACAGAGAAGAGCTAGCTGATGCCCTCTCCAACAATCAGGGAAAGCTTCAGGGAGGGAGAATTGAGCCCAGGGGACACTGAGCTCAAAAAGGCAACAGGGAAGAGAAAAGAAAGAAGGGAGGACTGGAGGATAGGACGGGAGGATGGAAGGAAAGGGTTGAGCACCTCTTTCACTCCCCCAAGACAGTATTTAATGCTGGGGTTGGGAGGGGCCTTGGGACTAGCTAGGATACTCAGAAATATGCCACCTCCATGCTGGGCATCATGGCTCTCCTAAGCTCTCTGCCATCCCCTCCAGCTGAGAAGCCAGCAACGTCTAAATCATAAGAATTGTTCCCAGGGCTAATCCTGAACAGCCACTTAGCAGGCCCCCTGGTGACTCTGCTGGTTTCTAACTCCAATGGGAAATTATTTCTAAATCTCAGAGATGGGGGGGTGCAATCATATAGTCTAGTTCATGGCAGTCCCAATGGTAAACCTAAAGCTAATGAGAAAACCTCAAAGCCAATGCCAAGTGGTCCAAGGCTAGGGCCTGTGCAGACCCACTCAGGACTGTCCATTTGCAAGAGACTTTCATGCAAACCTTTCCCGAGCTCACCTTCTGCCTCTCATCCATCAACGCTGCAAAACTGGGATAATGTGAGCACAAAAAAAAAGAGAGATGGATGCTGTGAGACTGTATCTCAGTTGGAAAGACATTCCATTTAGACATTCCTCTAAAATCTAGGGCAGGTTTAATCATTAACAACTAGTTTTGAAAGATACAAAGGAATAGCACACGCATACTGCAAAACCTTCCAGAGAAGGCCTTGGGGACTCACGCTCTGAGCTTCCTTTACGTTAATTCTTATCTTCGGTCTAAACACAGCTTTGTTTTTTCTTCTTGACTCAAACACTCCTCTTTTGAAGATCATCACGGCCATCTGTCTCCAAGAGAAGAATCATATGAAATAGCAACAGGACGCATGCCTCGGCCACAAAGATTGAGCGCTCAGTCAACAGTGCTGTGCAGTACACTTCTTCCGTTTCATGAAATTTTCATACCTTTATTGTGGCCTCTCTGTAATATCTCCGGGATTCTTCCTGAGACTTGGAGGAACTCATTAATTCCAGTTGCCTTAACTCATCAATTTTAGCTAATGCACGTCGAGCAAATGCCTATGTTGCAATTAAAACAAATTTAATTCCCAATAAGTTGGAGAACGGTGATTAAAAATGTATAAAAATGGTATGTTTTGATGTCTGAGGCATTTGATTTAATCTGAATTAAACTGCTGGCTGCTGTTGACTCCTTATACCACAGTAGCACTCCAATCTATCATTTGTGATGAGCACCATTAAGCTCTATAAATCTAAAGTTAATAAACATCCCGACACATTAACTTTATGAATTATAGAATTTTTAGAAGAAAGCAAAAATGTGAATTAAACAGAACCTTTGTATGGAGTACTACTCCGCTAGCAATGCCTACAAACATGCTCACACTTGAACGCATACACACACGCACACATGTACACCATCCTCAGATGGTCTTCTCAAATTTCATCCTTCCTAGTAGAAGGTGAGATGTAACCTCTTCAACTGCTCACATCCTGACTGCTACAGTGTGGTGTCTCTAAAAGGCCTTATTCATTTTTAGATCTCCAATACCCATTGTAGAGGAACTACTGCAGAACAGGCAGGAGAGGCAGGAAGAAGGCAGGCTAGCTGGTGGACACTGATGATTCTCTAGAGACAGTAATAAGTGTTCAGAAAAGCCCTTGAGCAGAGTTAAGTAGCAAAATGTTTCATCACATGGGGCTCCAGAATGCAACAGATTGCACATCAGATTTCCAAAATTTCATGTCATTGGTTTTGCCATTTTTTTCAAAATATTTTACTCATAGCTTCTAATAACAAAAGTTCCAGGCCAGTTGAAGTTAAGGAATGCATAAATTTTCCAGTAAGCAAGAATCCCAATAAGAATGAAAACATTAGAATCTCCAGGGTTCTGGCCCCAATCACAACAGTCACAGTGTTACAAACTGTGCCTCCCTCAGAGCACTCAAGTTAAACGAGCATATGTGGTGAGCAGTTTCTAGAACTATCCTGAGCTTTTAAAATTATTCTAGCACGGTTTGAATGCAGCTGCTCCTCTAGCCAGGGACTGCTAACACCAAACTCTTCAGAATTGATCCAGGCAGTTTGAAAAAACAAATGTAAGAAACCATTAATGGCCAAATTATGTCTATCAGGTTGTGAACGGACTAGGAGTAGATATGAGCACAGCTGTAAAAGCTGTGTCTTGTACCGGGCTCCGAGCCCAGGGGCTAAAGGAACACTGAACTCCAAGCAGCATACCTCTCACGAGACTGCGCAAGCATCCTGGGACAAAGATGCATTGGCCCGAAGAAACAGGTGCAGTTTTGTAATTTTCACAGAGGCTCCATTCCCTGACAGGTGAGTACCATGTACAGCAGGGAAGACATGCTTTTAAGTTTATACTAAGAGTCTATGCCAGTCAATGGGAGTCCCCACCAGCTTGTTACATGTCAAATGCTCAGTCTAAAAGATGTACCAAAAAAAAAAGAGGGGAACAAATAGAACTAACAAGGCTGGAGGCAGCAGAGAGTCGAGGTAAGTGTATAACAGATGCAATGGAGCCTCAAAGTGAGCAGAGAAGGGGTTTCTGTCCGAGAACAAACCGAGAAAAGGAAGATGCTGGAAAGTAAGAGGGCTGGGGAGAGGGGTGGGAGGGCTTGGCACACAAGCATGAGGATCTGAGTTTGGATCCCCAGAAACAAGTCAAGCCAGACACAGTAGCTCACATCTGTAATGGCAGCGTTGCTATGACACTATGGGAGGTGGAGACAGGCTCATGGGCCAACTAGCCTAGAGTAGGCAACAGCAGGCAAGAGACCCTGTCTGAAACACAGCAAAACGCTAGGCCCAACACTCAAAGTTGTCCTCTGACCTCCACATGTGCACAGTGGTGCCTGCACACACATACACGCATATGCATACATACACACACATATACACATGCACATAACATGCATATAAACATACACATGCGCACACATACATCCATATACACAAATATACACACATACACACACACACACACACACATCATCATCATCATCATCATGGTCACAAAAGAATAAGGAATAAGAGGAACAAAGAAGGTTCGAGGTGACAGAGCAACAGCCAAGAAGAAAGTGCACAGAGTAGTTCGAGAAAGTCACAAAACAGAATAACCAGGAAAGTGCCTTCAGATTAGACCGGGAGTTTCGTAGCTTTGCCGGTTTTCAGTTCTCTGGCTGGTGTGTTGCCTTGGGGGGGGGGGCATCTAAAGGAGAGAGGATCTGATACATTGTATCTCAAATGCTGAAGCCATCTGAAAGCCACATACCTCCCCGTGGATGCTAGTCTGGCAGTCGTAGTGGCACTGGCAGACAGCAGTGTACAGAGTGGCTCTCCAGGTCAGGTACCTGATGGACAGGAGCGGGACAGAGGATTCCATGCACATGCTGGCCCACAGCAGGTATTCTACGGCCTGGAAAGAGAAGCAGAGAGCACAATGAAATTGATTCCCATTGCTTACCCTAGCCGTAATGATATTATTTAGAATCGCCAAAGCCTAAACTGTAACTGCAGTCTGCTGGCTACTCCCATCAAAGTTACCATAAACAGTGAGTCAAAGAAAACTCTACGTGTGTGGGCATGTTCATATTATAGTGGTGTGTGTGCACATGTGGTGTTTGCACATGGAGGCCAAAGTCAACACTGTGTGTCTTCCTCTATGACTCTCCATCTTATTTTTTGAGACCGAGTCTCTCACTGAACCTAGGCCTCCCTGACTCAGCTGGACAGGCTGGCCAGCTAGCACCTAGGACCTGCCTGTCTCCACCGCCCCAACACAGGGATTACAGGTGTGCAGCTGTGCCTAGCTTCTTTTCAAACATGGGTTCTGGAAACAAAACGCAGGTATTCATGTTTATAAAGCAAGTACTTTCATCTCCCCATCCCCTGAATCTGTGTTTTTTAGTTGAGAAAGCCCCAAATCTCCAAGTCACTCTTCTAGAGTATCTTTATTGTTCTAGAATAGTTCCTTAAGAGGCCAATGAGCTGGGCTCATTTTCACCAACATTCTTTGAGTGTGACCTGTAGTCTAGGAAGCTATTCAAAGCGCTGGCTGATCGGTGTGTTATTTGGGTCAGGAGGACAGGCAACATGGGAAGGGCGTACCAGTGCAGACTTCAAGGCACATTAGAAACAGACTGAAATAAGAGAAACTGAGGCCACACTCCCAATTCAGTCTCTCTCTAGACCTCAGTCTTCTCATCTGCACTATGGGTACTTTTCACAAATCCCAGCCTGGTGGCTCTGGAGAAAGCATCAGTGTGTATGCTGCTCTAGGCATAGTGTTCGCTGCCAGTATTGTCCTAGGTAGGGTTTCTATTACTGTGATAGGACACCATGACCAAAAGAAACTGGGGAAGAAAGGCTTACCCTTCCACACTGTAGTTCATCATTGAAGGGAGTCAGGACAGGAACTCAAGTAGGGCGGAACCCAGAAGGCAGGAGCTGATGCAGAAGCTACAGAGGATGCCTCTTACTGGCATGCTCTCCACAGCTGGCTCAGCCTGCTTTCTTATGGAACCCAGGACCACTAACCCAGAATTAGCCCAACTGAAAATGGCCTGGGCTCTCCCGTATCAATCACTAATTAAGAAAATGCCTTAGAGGTTTACCTACAGCCCATCTTATGGAAGCATTTTCTCAGCTGAAGTTCCCTTGTCTCTGATGACTCTTAGCCTGTGTCTAGTTGATATAAAACTATCCAGCACACGCTCTAGAAATGGTGCCCTCAGAACCGAACACAGGAAAACTGACAAGTATCCTGGATTCTCAGGAATGACAACTTTGGACAACAGAACAAAATTTCTCTCCCAGTACGAATGTAAGCCTAAGTAACTAAGGAATAATTTCTTCAGTGGATCAATGACCCACCTGGAAAGGGAAAATTTCCCAAAAGGCCCTGTGGCTTTCAGGACATGGAGCATGTCCACCAGATTTGTGTGGTGTTTGATAGCAAAAATGAGAATGACAGCTGATCCAGGGAGTCCAGAGAAGCAGCTGTTCCAGAGGCAGCATCAGGTACAACAGGCCCTGCTTCTGGGCCTGTGTTCCAGTGCCTGGGGATCGCCTGGAAACTGCACAGAGCTTCCAATCCCAGTGGGAGCCAAACACCCGAGACTCCAGGGCTTCTCTCCCACCAACGAGACCAGGAAACCAGAAGAGCCAGGGAGACCAGGGGAGCAGCTGTTCCGGCGGGATCAGGTACAACAGGATCCAGCAAAGAGTCCAGGGGACCAGGTGGGAGGCTAAGCAACCCAGATTCCTGTTCTTCTTCTCCACCCACAGGACCAGAATGAGGACAAGGAATAGAAGAACCACCATATTATTGGACTTGCTAGCACCCACCAAAAGGGAACTCTGGTTCCCAGACCAGTAAGGGGCTCTTTCTGCACCCACTAGAAGAAGAGATGGGAAAGAGACAATACAAAAACACACTCGGCAACAGAAAAACAAATATGACACCTCCAGATTCTAGAGACTCCACACCAGCAAGACTCCAACATTCCAATGCGAATGAAGCAGAAAAGAACGACCTTAAAACCACTTTCATGAAAATGATAGAGGCCCTAAAAAGGGATATAGGAAAATCCCTCAAAGAAATGGAAGAAAAAACAAACCAAAAAATGCAAGAAATGGAAGAAAAAACAAACCAAAAAATGCAAGAATTGGAAGAAAAAACAAACCAAAAAATGCAAGAAATGGAAGAAAAAACAAACCAAAAATGCAAGAATTGGAAGAAAAAACAAACCAAAAAATGCAAGAAATGGAAGAAAAAACAAACCAAAAATGCAAGAATTGGAAGAAAAAACAAACCAAAAATGCAAGAATTGGAAGAAAAAACAAATCAAAAAGGCAGGAAATGGAAGAAGAAACATACCAAAAAAGGCAGGAAATGGAAGAAGAAACAAAGCAAAAAATGCAAAAAATGGAAGAAAAAACAAAGCAAAAAATGAAAGAAATGGAAGAAGAAACAAACCAAAAAAGGCAGGAAATGGAAGAAGAAACAAAGCAAAAAATGCAAGAAACGGAAGAAAAAGCAAACCAAAAAATGCAAGAAATGGAAGAAAGAACAAACCAAAAAATTCATAAAAGGGAACAAATGGATGAAGAGATAAACCAAAAATTGCAAGAAACAATGCAAACACTGCAAGAGTTGAAAACTGAAATAGAGACAATAAAAAAAAACACAATCTGAAGAAAGACAGGAAATAGAAAAGCTGGGCAAACAGTCAGGTACTACCGATACAAGCATTACCAACAGAATAGAAGAGATGGAAGAGAGAATCTCAAGTGTTGAAGATACACTAGGAGAAATGGATTCATCAACCAAAGAAAACCTTAAGTCCCACAAATCCTTAACACAAAATATCCAGGAAATATTGGACACCATGAAAAGACCAAACCTAAGAATAATAGGTATAGAAGAAGGAGAAGAAAACCACCTCAAAGGGGCAGAAAACATATTCAACAAAATCATAGAAGAAAACTTTCCCAACCTTAAGAAAGACATGCCAATGAAGGTACAAGAAGCTTACAGAACACCAAATAGAGTGGACCACAAAAAAAAGTCCCTTCACCACATAATAATCAAGACCCCAAATATACAGAATAAAGAAAGAATATTAAGAGCAGCTAAGGAAAAAGGCCAAGTAACATATAAAGGCAGACCTATCAGAATCACACCTGACTTCTCCAAGGAAACTCTGAAAGCCAGAAGGTCCTGGATAGATATTCTACCAACACTAAGAGACCATGGATGCCAGCCCAGACTACTATAACCGGCAAAGCTCTCTATCACTATAGATGGAGAAAACAAGATATTCCATAACAAAACTAGATTCAAGCAATACGTATCCACTAACCCAGCCCTACAGAAAGTTTTGGAAGGAAAACTCCAACCCAAGGAAGTTAACTACAACCAGAAAAACATAGGCATTAGAGAATCCCTCTCTACCAACAGGCAAAAGAACCAAGGGGTGAAATTCCACACATAATTCCACCAAAAACAACCATTGCAAATCAAGGAAGAATGAGAAATCAGTGGTCATTAATATCCCTCAACATTAATGGCCTTAACTCACCCATAAAAAGACACAGGCTAGCAGAATGTATTCGAAGACAGAACCCTTCTTTCTGCTGCATACAAGAAACACACCTCACCCTCAAAGACAGATATTACCTGAGAGTTAAAGGTTGGGGAAAAAAATCTTCCAATCAAATGGACTCAAGAAACAAGCAGGGGTAGCAATGCTAATATCTAACAAACTAGACTTTAAAATTAAATCAATCAAAAGAGATGAAGGAGGTCATTACATACTCATCACAGGTGAAATCCACCAAGATGAAGTGTCTATCCTGAACATCTATGACCCAAATATTAAGGCATCCACATCCGTAAAAGAAACATTACTAAAACTTAAAACACATATAAAGCCCCACACATTTATAGTGGGAGATTTCAACACCCCACTCTCACCACTGGACAGGAATACCAGACAGAAACTCAACAAAGAAGCAAAGGGTCTAATAGAAGTAATGACCCAACTGGGATTAACAGACATCTATGGAAGATTTCATCCACATAAAAAAGAATATACCTTCTTCTCACCACCACATGGAACCGTCTCAAAAATCGAGCACATACTTGGCAACGTATCAAACCTCAGCAGCTACTAAAAAATTGGAATAACTCCATACATCTTATCAGACCATCATGCTTTAAAATTAGAATTCAACAACAACACAAATTGCAGAAAACCTACAAACTCATGGAAATTGAATAATGCACAACTGCAACATTCCTGGGTCAAAGAAGAAATAAAAAAAATAAATTAAAGACTTCCTAGAATTCAATGAGAATGAAGACACAACATACCCAAACCTATGGGACACTTTGAAAGCAGTGCTACGGGTGAAGTTCATAGCACTAAGTGCCCACATGAAGAAACTGAAGAATAGTTATACTAGAGAATTAACAGCACAGCTGAAAACTCTAGAACACAAAGAAGCAAACTCCCCCAGGAGGAGTAGATGCCAGGAAATAATCAAATTGAGGGCTGAAATCAATAAAGTAGAAACTAGGAAAACAATACAAAGAATCAATGCAACTAAGAGTTGGTTCTTTGAGAAAATCAACAAGATAGACAAACGTTTGTCCAAATTTACCAAACAGCAGAGAGTGAACATGCAAATTAACAAAATCAGAAATGAAAAGGGGGACATAACAACGGACTCTGAGGAAATCCAGAGAATCATCAGGTCATACTTTGAAAACCTGTACTCCACAAAATTTGAAAATTTAAAGTAAATGGATGACTTCCTGGATAGCTATCACTTGCCAAAACTAAATCAAGAACAGATAAGCAATTTAAATAGACCTATAACCCCTATGGAAATAGAAGCAGTCATCAAAAG